CCGGGTACTGAACTTAAACAAAATCAGCCTAAACATGAAACCACCAAAAAGCAACAGAAGTATAACAGAAGAGCAAGTCCATGGAAGCCTCACACGTACAAAGAAATGGATTCCCGAGTGAAATGCTGGATGACTGTAGTAACACTTTGACATAAAAATGATTTATGTGGAATGCGGGAGTCCAGAAAATTATAGTCAACATTACAGCCGATATTTCCATCTGTGCCAAATCACGAGGATTGCCCAATGGCCGTCTTCTAGTAAGTGGGAGATGTCCTTACAATCCCTCGATAGTTTGTTTGGTTGCTTTCTTCCCTTGTTGGTGTGATATGGAGGGCTACATCGTAAGACCACCAATGTGAAATTTTATTGAGGAAAACTTTTCTCAGTAACCGCCTTCTCTCTGTTAATTAAGGAGAGAAAAACACTCTTGGAAGAGACGTATGAGGGAATGCTCTTTTTAGAGTGGCTTCCCACACTTTTAGAATAAAGTTTGCATCTTTATCAGTGATTGTTTTTCTCTGTTTTCCTTCCTCCATGCCCGGAGTGAAAACCACTCTAAAAGAGCGACGCAACCACCGTTTTCAGAGAGCCCTACTGGAGACCACTCCAATAAGCTGCCCTTGTCCCGACCCCTATATCTTGAACAAAGGAGGGATTTCCTCCTGTAGACACCAAAAGCACTTCCACAAGTTCGCATCAAAAGCTGCCTATGCCCTATGCCAAGCGGAGAAAACAACGGTTGCGCTATAGGTCTCAAATGTTTATGATTTCTAATTCATAACGAGCGCATGACACGCGCTTCTCTTTATTATAATTCATTTGTCTTTCACGTATCAAAAAATCTTTGGTCGTAGGAAATAAGTCTCATGGTCGTTGGTTGGTTTTAAAGAAGAATGGACCATTAAAAAAACGATAAAGGTCATGTACTTTGACAACTGGAACCTTGATATGAAGAGGGAAGAGTTACAAGCAGTATCCCTAGGTTTCAAGTGTATGTTTCCCTTTCACTCATATCGTTAGATTTTAAGGACACCATCTGCACCCACAGGATCCTTCTGCAAATGTCATCAAAGACAGAAAGACTAAATTCATGGGTCATGACATTTCCATCATTTTGTAACACCCCGGAACTTCATTTCTGATACCCTGGTAATATCTTTATCATAAATCCAATGATCCCTGAACTAGCATGTTTTAGTGGTTGAGGACAGTAGGCCTAAACATGTTTTAGCGGAGGTAACACATGTACAAGTATGCCACAATTTAATTTCGTGATTAATGTAATGTGTAAGAAACGGCACTCCATAGTAAGAGAAACTGGGCAATCACTGCACTAAGCAGACTAATCCCAGGGGCATGTTTTTGCAACTCCTAACCACAAACTTGTTTGTAATACTGAAACAATAATCCAGGATCATATTTCAAGTAAAGGATAGTTGCTGTAGTTTTTTTTTTATTAAATACAAACCAGACCTCCTAAATTCACAGCTGTGTCCCATTTAACACCACTTTCAATTTTTGTTTCACTGTTTCAAACAGTATTTTACTGCACGTTTGGCTGTTATGCCAATGAGCATTTCCATTATCATGACAAAAACTGGGATGTCATCCCAGGTAGAAAACGTCGCTGTTGCGTTGTGGTTTGTGCCCAAAAGCTCCTCAGGTTTTGTAACTTTGAAGATTTTGCTGGCCCACTTTTTCTTGTTGTGAGTTGTGTAAATACATAGCAATAAACAAGCAATTACTCATTTCAGATTTTGCTACTGAGTAAATTCTGGGCTCACAAATTGACAAGACAATCTATACAGTGAACCAAGTTTTCCCGGGATGACTTTACAGCAACAGCGCCCTCAGTCAAGGGCAGGGATAATATTGAATGATGTAAAAAGTTTACTTTCAATGCAGTTAACCTAATTGGAATGTCAAATAGCTTCTGTACACTGGAGGAGAGTATAGAGTTTGCACCCAAAAAAAAATTAGTCTAAGAAAAGATTATAGCATCTACAATCTAAGATGGCCCGCACCAAAAGCAGAGAATTAGAATCGGCAACGTCATTTTTTAAAGGTCGAGTTCGGGCGGGTTTCTTGTTCTCGCGGTCGAACGACGGGAACACGACCCTAGAACACTGTTCTCGGAACAGGATCGCACACCACCTCCTCGTTAGGGTTTTACAGGAAAACACGGAAAAACTCGTGCGATTTTTATTTTTGAACAGCCGCAAAACATATCGAGATGGCTTACAAAGCAGGAGACAATGGCAAGTTTTGCAAAAGTAACATTAATAAATTTCCATACCACAGTAATGGATGCTCCTTTTTAAGTAGAAAAGAATTCAGTCCAGTTATCCAAACATCATACACCGCCATGTTGCATGTTGCTTGCCGCTAACTACCAGCGATAACCGGTTGCACGTATGTTCCCGGCGTTTGATCGGCCGACCAACGAACAACAAATCGAGCTATTCATGAACATAGGAGATCAAGCCGCCCGAGCTTATCAGCCTTATTCTTGAGGAAGATCGGCTGTAACCTCCTTGATTGTATCAGTTTTCTGTACTTTGAACTGAATTTCCTAATGTTAAAAGGCACAGTATTTCTTTTATTCTTATGAGTTATTTGTTTCAAGGGGTATTAGAACAGTCCAAATTGTATACAGTAGGTTTAGGCCTACGTACAAACACAAATAAAATTCCCAGAATACAAAAATCACTTTGTTATTTCAACTTGTAAAAATGACATCACTGGCCAAATTGCCACAAAAAAATAATAATAAAATAAATAAATAAGATGCATAAAATGGTACCTTCCGTGATCCCCTCCAAAATTACCCAACACCCCGAGTAAAAATCGAATATTGTGTATCCTCATTTTTTGTTAATGAAGGTCACATGGGACAAAATCTGGTCTTGATTGGTCGAGAGCCAGTCAAAATTACGTGATATCGACAGGTTAGACGAGCTTGAGGTGGCTCTAGGGAGAGAGAATTCTGTTCTTCATGTCTCTAACACAGCTTCATAACATGCAATTCTAAAATGGCGCAGACACTTTACACCTTAAAAAATAAACACTGTCATCTGTGGAACACACTGTGTAAAAATTAAACATTGGTTTAGAATGCGCTGTGTTCATTACGGACACTTAACACTCTTGTAAAGTAAGTCCTAAAAAGTGACGCATTGGCCAACATTCTATCCGAACAGTGATGATATTTTCAGTGATGCATGCATCTGCGTTTAATGTAGACCTTTATGCTACCATGTTTGTCTTGTTCCCTTCAGCCCCTTTGGCAATAGTAATACAACTTCACATATTGATGCAAAGAAACAGACCATTTTATATTCTGCCTCAGTGCACAGTGCAGCATAATTCAGTCGTATTAGTGAAAACAGTCGGTCCTTCTACCCAACATTTGAGCCTAAAACTAATGGTATAACAATAGAGAAGGACGGTGTCGTTTTTTCTTTCTTGTAAATATCCACAGAAGATTCAACCTCAGGCATCCGGCAGGAGACAGATTTTAACATAATGTAAAAATTTTACATCGCCTGAATAGACAACACCCAGTGGAGTGGACACTGATTGTATTGAAAAGTGTCTTTCGAACTCTGAAAAAAAGAAGCCAAGAGAGTCCTCCTATGACCTAGCCTCCCATCATCCCTTTTGTGACAGGATTAATGTCGTCGCTAAAGGCAAAGCCTGTTTGTCGCGCCCGATCCAATTTGTGGTATGCTTTCAGCAGATGTCCTAAATACGTTTTCAATTCTTTATAATGATGACGATGCCTTGTTCGTTGCAAACAAAAGTGCCAAGTAAGATGATGAGAGAAAGTGACACGTTCAGTGCACTGTGTGAGGTAACGTCTGCTTGACTATATGTGTTATCCTTGATGACCGACGCTTTGCCGGTTACTTTCAATTGTATGATGGAAAAGAACTTTGGCATAAAAAATCTTATCAAATTTACACAGCTAATAAGATATGCTTCCATTCTTTTAAATTTATGAAAGGTCACCCCCCCCCGAAAGTTAGAGTAGTGTCTCTAGAATACATGGTGCCAGATCTCCTGTTATGTCTCATCTGGTTTTTGAAAACGACCACAACCACTGCAGTGGTTTAAGTTTAGATACATCAATTTAAAATTAAATATAGACCGCGACCAGAGATAAAAAGATGCAGTGTAATTGCTACTTGCTGTACAGATTCACCCTTAAAGAGCACCTCAAGGAAAATATGTTTTCTCTGATTTTATCTGTTCAAATAAATATGTATGTATCCAAATCGAACGTAGTGTCATTTGTCTTCAGAGCTCAATTACAACAAGCTTAAAACGGTTTTTTCAGTTATGCCAAGATGGGAATTTTGAATGTAGATTGCGTCATTGAGGAGAAAACGGGGAAAACGAGGGGAACCCTCGCCCTGTGTTCGTAGTGGATAAACCCTTGTGCACGCCAAACAATGGCTACTTTGTAATCTGACGACAAACAATGGCTACATTGTTTGGCATGCACTTGGCATGCCCTTTTCAGCTTGTTATAGTTGAGCTGTGAAGACAAATGACTCTGCGTTCGATTTGGGTGCTTCCATATTTATTTGAAAAGATAAAATCAGAGAAAACATGTTTTTCTTAGAGGTGCTCTTTATTGTCAGAAATCATGTACATATGTACTTCTATTACCCAGACCCCGATCAGTCTTTGAGGATTGCTCATGGGAAGACTTTTGTGAAGTGATTTGCGCATTCAAGTGAAGTTTAATCTTAGAGGCGAAAGGTAACAAAAATAACCGTGGAATTTCTGTCCCTCGGTTAATAAAGTAATACAATATACGGAAAGCCTGCTACAACTGGGGCATTTGTAAACGGTTTGCCCAACCTAAATCACTTCACTGAAATTATGTGTGTAGGCCTGCTCATCAGAGTTACAGAAATCGCTCCCTACAGATCGAGCGAGGATTACATGTTCATTACATAGTTTAGGCCTACATTCAGGCGCAAGCTTACCATCAGCTGTAGCAGTGTACGTGTACATTTACACGTATATGTGATCTGCTGCACTTTCGTTTCTCTTTTCGGCGAGCTGCTGGCAATACTTTGGTGAATCTTGGAGCAATCGTCCGCAACTTCTTCAATGGGAACTGCAGTTGTTTGCCTGCAGGCAGAAGCTACAAAAATCCTCCACATGCCACTGAGCCGCACAGCCTGATGCATTGCGTTCAGAGTGCAAGGCCGTGACTTGGGGGTCTCCAGAGGCTCGCAAATATGATTTAAAGGGTGGGGCTGCGACCCCATAACCTAGGCCGTTTATTAACATTGATGTATTGATAGATCCAGACATCGCATGCACAAACATTTTATTTTAGCATCCAGCTTTGAAGTACAACCACACGTGGGAAAAAACCACTGTTCACAGCAAGTCAGGATAAAACTCTATAATACATGTATTGTTAAAAACCTGTCTATATGGCAATTTAAAATGTATTGCTTCTGGGTTTTAACCAAAAGCCTTCTTCCTTAAGTTAAGATGTTTTTCAGTTGAGAGAACCTGCTCAATTTAAATAGGCCTACACGCATCACAAAACGAACATATCCACGTTTTTGTGGGACCCTGCATTTAATTTTCAGAATCCAACAGAAAATAATTAAGTGGGACTGAACTTCGGCACATTCTGACATTTCATTTGTTACAGTAGCTAACTGAAGCATCAGTATTGATGAAGAGGTGGAAATCAGAATACAACACGACAGAGATTCCATTCTTGCACACAGACCTAGCCGTAGCCATAAAAATAAAGAATGTGTACAAATGCATGAAGGAAACTGTGCTACTTTGCTTTATATAATAGTAGCCAGCCTATACTTCCAACAGGTTGTGATTAAAAGCATCCGTGAAAAGATTGCATTCATTGGCTTACAAACATCGTGAATGTGGTCATTGTAAACGGTGATCTCACACAAGTTGATGCAAGTGTTACAAACATTAGACAATATGAGATATGCAGATTTCTCTTTCACGGAGAAAGAGAAATGGTAGACTGTTACTTATGGTTTATTTTTATGAGTATTCTTAGGGCTAAACTTAAATTTTAGAAATAAGTCGACCTAAACATGACTTTATGCGTTAATATGACTCTTTTATGAGAATGTATCGGTATCTATATAATCCAAGGAAATTGGTGGATTCTGTTACATTAACTTCATTATCAGCAATAAAAATTCTCCCATGGGCAGGAAAATGTAGAGGATTGTTAAACGTGTAAGTCTTTTCATAGAACTGCCTCACCGATCGTGGTCTTCTGATCGGCAAAGATCACACCACGCGACATTCGTTGTTGCTGCCGATTACCCTGGGATTTATAAAGTCCCATTTGCCCGTGGTGAATGGGGTATACTATTCAACAGTTAGGACCATCCTTTTCTGACGGCTTCACTAATTTTGAGCAGAGCACCGAAGACCACGCAAAACCTGGGGAGAAGGTTGTGACTGGTTGTAACGCTGTTGCTTGATAAGCACACTCAATCATGGCCATTATGTCAACAGGTATGCCAATATACGGGCCCATTTTGGACAATGGTTTAAAGGACTTGTAATCAATGCAACAGACTGGGATCTATTGTCAGTTACATTAAAGATTGGAAGTAATGAATGGCTTTAACACTAATAGAACCGGGGTGGAATGCCTCCCATCTTTTCCGATATCGCCTAAGTACATTTCTTTTTCAGGAGTTGAGACTTTAGGAATTATTATAGTGATTCTTTGCGGTCATTTTGACACCTATTTTGTGAAAATCCAACCTACCGTTTTTGTGCAACGCGTATTTCTCCGAGACGTTCCACCCAAAATGTATACTTTCCCACTGCTGTACATGTACTTTTAAGATGATAAGAATGCCTTTTCATGCCTTCCAAGTTTGAAAAAAATCGAGTGAGGCACAGCCAATTTCGGGGGGGGGGGTGGAATCCCCTCCCCCGCCGTGAGATGGGCTAAAATAACCCAGCTCTTTTAGGTTAAATTGTGAAATGGGAGGGTTCGAAGGTTCACCTTACGATGATATTCCTCCCATTCTACTTTGCGTGAGGGACAGTTTTTTGGTCATATTTAAAGCTTGTAAGATCCGTAAAAGATTCGAAAAATGTAAGAAATGCAGGGCTTGGAGTCTCCAACAGAAAAAAAGGAACTAATAAAAAATCAAAGTTTTTTTTTTTTTTTTTTAAACTTTGGGGATAGTTATCATATCACTGGAAGTTGGTGCACGAAGGTAACAAGGCCTTGGTGTAGCTTTGACTGAAACAGCTGTCAATTTTGTCACATAAGGCTTCTCATACAAACGTTACCGTTTGTATAAATAATGACTGAACTCTAACCTTTATCCTTGCAAGAGATCGGTTGAATGCATTTATGTAACGTGCTAGTCTTATAGACTTTATGTTATCGAAATCACACATATCATCTGGAATCGATATTATTAAACATTTATAATTAAACATCATAAGTGTAATCCAGTTTAATCTTTGAATCCAAAGTTTCGATAATTCATTGTCTGTAACATGCAAATATTATCAAACGGTTGAAATAAACCTGGGAACTATAAAAGAAGCTGGTGAATTTTAAACTCACTCACGCGACTCGCTTACATCGATTATACTACCGATTTTCGTAGTATCGATTTCGGCAAGCTCTGGAATCATTCAGACTGCTGTGACATCAAGAAGCACGATGGAACTGCTCACGAATGCACAAATGTTGTTGGTATTTGCCTGTTCGTTTCTGGTGTCCATATGGTTTCTACGCTGGCGAGCCTTTTATCGTAGATTACCTCCAACTCCGTGGTACATCCCACTCCTGGGCAGTCCACAGCTGTACAGCTCTTCCATGCATCTACAGCTCACCAAGACAGGACAAAAATATGGCGGTATATACACGCTGCACATGACCACCAGTCCACTGGTGGTTCTGAGTAGCTACTCGGCCATCAAAGCCGCCTTAGTCAGACAAGCTGTAGATTTCAGTGACAGGTTCACGTTTCCCTTCTCATCGAAAGAACTGCGACTTGAAGGTGAAGAAACCCACGTTCATTTTAAAGCACCCTGCCAATTCACCTTTCTACCTCAATTTCCACTTTTCAGTCTTTTCACTGCTGTTTTTTGATCACTGCCGTTTTTCACCAAGTTACCTGCATTGTTTTATAATAATGTTCATGGTAACCTGTGACCTCAATCCTTATGTCTTTCAGGGATAGCAAAGTTTATGCCAGCAAAAATGTCTGTGTATGTATGAGGAGGCCTTCGAATTAAATAGATATTTCAATTCTTGCCATGTCCTTTTTATTAGGAGTTACCGATATTTAAATTATTGTTTACCATGCACAAAGTTACTTTATTGATTCTGTTTGTAATATAATTACTGTATTCCAAAAAATCTAGCATTAATATAATAAATAATCAAACTTGTGTGGGAACTTACGTGCGCATGCGTTTTTGCGACTGCAGCTTAAGAATAATAATTCAACACAACACATAGCGTCGAGCTACGACTGCTGGCGCACAAGCCTCTTGTGGCTAAAATTGGATAAATCGAAAATCGATTGATGCATATTAATATACTGTTTTGGAAATTTTATGCTTTGCGACAGTTTAAAACATAAGATTTTCTTGTACCACCGAAGAACGTGGAGGGACGACCAAATGGCCCGTCCCCGACGAATAGCTGTGTATGGGGACCCCCCCCCCCAGAAGCTAAGCAGTGATGCCGGCTTAGCAGAAGCTCACGCCCCGCACAGAAAGCAGCCTAAGCAAATACGTAACAGACTCACATTAAGGGCAGTCTCAGTTATGAGGGAGAAGATAAATATTGCGCAAACATCAATCCAAATTTTGTCATGTATGCCTATAATTAAGGGTCCACACCGGCTGTATTTTCATTCGATTTATGCTTATCTGTAAATCAGGTAACAAATTGCTGTCATTGCTACCTTGCCCTTACCGTATCCTACCAGTGACATATGGTATCCTACAGGTGAAACACACATTGGGACAAATAACATATTTTCAAATCACATCAATGTCTTCAATACAGCCCATAGTGTATTGTTTTCTGGGATAATTTCCTGGATGGAAGCATGGAGTCAATGACCTTTCATCTGAACTTGACGTGTCGGATCATCTCTTCTCTTGTTACAAGTGCAATTGCACATTACAAGTCAACATTAACGAACCACTGTTGAAAATTGTCAACTGTTGATAATCAACTGAATATGGAGATTGCAACACCCAAAGTTCTCGTATTCTCCTGATCCCCAGTACCATGATAGCTACGGTGATTCATCCCGGATAATATTTGACAGAATTTCTTATGAAGGCCTGCACGGTGATGGCTCGCTTGAACAAAAAGTCTGCCTTTGTTTCATTTGGATTTATATGTGGCACTGCAGGAGACTTTAATGACACACGAGACATTGAGGATAACTGTGTGCCATTTGCGTTCTCGGTGACTTTATCACCGTGCCCAATAAAATCACAGCTTGCGACAGCTTCAGACTTTATACGGTAAGATGTATTTATTGAAAAGTTTGTCATAGTTCTTTGACGGTTTGTCTTGAACTGAGCCATTTGCCCTTCTAATTGTGTGCATATACTTCTCTTTTTTAAAAAACATTTCCTATAGGTTTCCCCCATTTTATTTCTAAGGAAACAATGAGAGGTATGCCTAGACTATTTTGTTTATCCGTGATTTTGTAATGATTATTATGACTGATCTTTTTACTCTGTCTTGCAGGTAGCGTTTTGCTTTCGAATGGCATTCAGTGGTCGGCCCGTCGGCGTGTTGCAATGACTGCTTTGCGATCATTCGGCGTAGGCACGCGCAGTTTGGAGAACCGTGTTAACGAGGAAGCCAGATATCTTTGCGACGCCACCGACCGAAACTGTGGAACACCGTTTGATCCAATACATATCGTCAAAAGTGCCGTCTCCAACATTGTGTGCACCATAAGCTACGGACAGCGATACGATTACAACGATCCGGTTTTTAGGACTCTTTTGGTAAATCTGGATACAATTTTCAGGGCATCCGCGGTGAAAACGATTCTTTTTGGGATGCCCTTCTTAAATTCACTTCCCCCATTGAATAAACTTAAATATGCTTATAAAGCCTTGACAAAGTTCAATGAGGAAATGGTGCAGGCACATCGAGCAACCTTTGACCCTGATAACATTCGAGACATGATTGATGCATTTATTCTCGAAGGGGACAAGCACCAAGAGGAAGGTGACAAACTGAAAGAGGTTTTTCGTGAGGATTTGATTTGGAGAGCGATCCACGACATGTTTGCTGCTGGGACTGATACCACAACTTACACAATCCTGTGGCTCATTCTTCTCATGATGGAGTACCCGGATGTCCAAACGAAGGCAAGTCGTAGTGTACTCTCGCCCTACGGTAATTGTGCTGTACCCATTTCAAATTGGAATCGAAAGAAAGGGCTTTCCGTTTCCTTAGTGTCAAGGACTAAAGAAGTGGTTCCAAATTAGCACTTATAGCCCCCACGAATACGAAGCAAAAAAGGGAAATGGGCAATTTGTGTTATTCCTTTGTAAATCATTAAATCAACATGCATGCATTAAGGTAGACGTTTTTCTTCATTCATGGTGTTTAACAAGTTTCTAACTCGTCACGTACACTCTAAAAACGTCCGGGTCAGATTGACCTAGAAAAGGGTCATACCGAATGGGACCCAATTCTGGGTCAACTTGACCCGGACTCGTTTAGAGTTTAGGTGACTGTTTGAACTTTGTTTTCATTTCAAAATGAATCCAACCTTTTGTAGGCCTACATCCTGAATGAATTCCTTTGGCCACTGAGATTCCCTCTTTTTTTCTACGAGAGACATGATCGTTGTGATGAACACCTTGTTTTATTTTTCTTATTTGTAACTGTATAGGTGCAAAGTGAAGTCGACAACGTCATCGGTCAGAGTCGCCCACCGTCGCTCACAGATCGTGCACAAATGCCGTATACAGAGGCAACCCTCATGGAGGTTCAGCGTTTCCGCACTGTCGCCCCCTACGTGCCTCCTCGGGCTGTCCCGAGAGATGTTGAAATTATGGGCTATTCAATCCCCAAGGGGACCCAGGTATGGGTGAATCTTTGGGGAGCTCTGAATGACCCGTCCCATTGGTCTAACCCAGAATGCTTTGACCCTTCGAGATTTCTCTCCGATGATGGTGAACATGTCATCGTTCCAGAGGCCTACATACCGTTTGGAGCAGGTAAATCAAACATCATATCGTCAAAGACTTGTAAAACGCACTTATTGCAATTGCGGGCAAACAAACTAATAACAGTACTTGTAGATAATTACAATAAATGATGTACACACAAGTCTGCTCATTAAAACTTGAAATATGCCAATTAATACGGTGAACAGAAAATCTTGTGTTATATCCAAATCCCAATTCTTTGTTCCCTGTAGGTCGCCGGGCGTGTTTGGGTGAAACTCTGGCCAAGATGGAACTGTTCCTTTTCTGTACCAACTTCATGCAAAGGTTCACTTTCATCCGTAATAGCACAACCCCTCTAGATTTGAGCGGCAGAATCGGTATAACGTTTATTCCGCGTTCTTATGAGACTGTCGTTGTGAGACGATGATAACGGTTTTTTGGGAGAGAGTTCGTATTATTTACAGAAGTCTGGATGTTGGGTCCAGTGCAGAAACAGGCATGGGGATCAGCGTATTGCTGTTAATTATTAGCAGAAATTACAAAGGGAGACGGTATTCGTTTAAAGACTTCTGGAGAAATTATTGTGGAGGCCCGGTTTTTACGAGAAATTCAGAAGAAACTCCAACCATTTGTCTTCGGTCTGTTTTTAACAATGCAACCCCTGCTCCAGTTCTTTCAAATTTGGTTAGGGAAAAAATAAGCGGCTCACTGAGTCATGAAGAAGTTTAAAAAAGTTTTGAAGAATATAAAAAAATGGTTATGATGGTTTCACGTTTGAATGTTATACATTTTATCTCTGACTTATGGTTTCTTCTACGGTCTGTGAATTTCGGGTACGATACTGGTAGTCTCTTAATTACCAACAGCTCGGCGTTATTACCTTACTTCCAAAAGGGGATAAACCCCGTCAGTTATTAAAGAACTGGAGACCAATTTCGTTAGAGAAACTAAAAAAAAAACTGCGTCTCCCCAATTATCCATGAAAATCAAGTTTTTTTTGCAGGGACGCTTTATCGGGGAGAATATTCGCTTGATATATGATTTGCTTAATTATACGGACAACAATAATATTCGTGGTGTCTTTTGTTCATTGAATTGGAGAAGGCGTCTTAGTAAGCTTCACAAATTTATTAGTGAAGTCTTGGATCTCTTTAATTTTGGACCCTCTATTCTGGAATGGATTCAAGTTCTTGACAGTGGGGTGCAACCGCCTTGGTGTTAGTAAACAGAATCGTTTAAGATACAGCAGGGTCAAGGGGGCGGTTTAAGCCCTTATTTGTTTCGTTTGAAATTATAGGTATGTTCGTTCGTAATGACAACATTCTTAAGGGCGTTTCAGTCGAGGATAAAGAGGACAGGCTTTCTCAGAACACCGATGATACAGTGTTCTTCTTAAATGGCACAGAGCAGTCCTTCGAGAGAAAGCTTTTAAGATTTTGGGTGATTTCGGCATGCATCATTTCTGGCCTCAGAGTGAACATTGAACAAAATAATTCTGTGTGGATTGGTGGTAAAAGGGACATCAGAAACACCTCTGTGGGTATATCCATGTTCATTGGGTTCGACCTGAAGGTAGTTTTAGAGCCCTGAGTATTGATTTTACTGTCAATATCATTAACTTACATGACGATCATGGATTATAACAGAGTGTTTGAAGCCATTGTTACTTAAATTTGTCATTGGTCTGAGAGAAATTTAACGGTTCTTGGTCCAGTCATAATTGTTAAATCACTTATCTTATCCAAATTTACTTTATAAGGCGTTGTCTCTTGCAGATCCACCCAGACATTATTTAAATTAAAAAAAAAGAATTTAAATGCTATGCTGTATAAACTTGTCTGGAGGGGTGGACAGAGTTGCTCAGAAATCAGAAAATAAACTTATTAACTTATTTGGAGGGGTGGACAGAGTTGCTAGGAATCAGATATGATTCAAGATTATAAACATGACGGTGTCCGGGTGGTTGGTTTAAGTTTATACATTGAAGCTCTTAAGTGTACGTGGCATGCGTAGACTCCTTAATAGCATCATTTCTAGCTGTTTTTTTTTTTTTTGCAGGATTAGTGATATTCCGAATGTGCTGTTTATTGAAGGTGGACATTTTAGCATCACTTATTTTCTTCAGCATGTAAAGTATCCAAATCAGTTTTGGGTTGACTTTTGAAAGCCTTGGGTCATTTGTTAAGTGTCCCTTCGTAATGGCAGAATGCGCTTGAAAACGTTTTGTGGTACAACCATGGAATTACAATTGGCAATAAATGTATTTTTTATAAACACTGGGCTAAAAAAAATTCGTAAGTGACCTGCTCGATAGGGAAGGTTACGTTTTAAACCGAGATGACTTTATGCTAAAATTTGACATCAGGACTAATTTCTTGGAATACGGCAGAGTTACTTTTAGAAAGTCTCTTCGTAGCACATTGTAACGGCTTAACATATACGTTTCCCCTATATATTCCTTTTAATTTGCAGTACCCTATGCTGGATAAAAAGGGCTCTACTTGTCTGTATTATATCATATTCCTACCTCTGCTAGGTCGTTCATAGGTTTATTGATAGATGAGAAAGGAAGCTGGCTTGTAATCTTCCTCTCACTGAATGGTTGAAGTTATGCAGTTGGCTCTTTCAGTTAACATGTGATACTTGCGGTGGTTACAATATAAACTTACAGAGTCTTGGCTGATTTATTTTCTTTTTAATTCGTAAACGAGATAATGACTTTTGTATTTTGGTCAAGCTGAAAGTGAAACCTTGATGCATCTCTTTTATACTTTTACTGTTTACTTTTATTGTTTAAAGACGATTTAAAAAGACATTATGCTTTAGAAAGATTTACTTTTACCTCTAGCGGAAATTCTGCTAAACTCAGTATTAAATGGCGTCTTTTTTCTTTGCTGTGTAATTGATTAATGTCTAATGTGAATTTGACTGTGTATTGACTTCTCTTATTTTTTTAATCCAATGAAATACACAAAAGAAACTTGAATAAAAGGCCCTGGGTGTGGAAAGAAAAAAGTGTGCGTTTTATTTAGCATTCCAATTAATGTCCATTTCCACCTGTCGTAAGTTAAATTTCTACTGACATTGACGAATTGGTACTGTCAAATTAAGATTCATCAAAGCGTAAAAGCTTTTTAATCTTTTAGGGCTATTTAAATTTGATTCAGCTTATTTTATAAATGCCTACTCAAAAACCGAAATCGAATGGCAACTTTTGATCCTGTTGTGCGGCATATAAAGGAGCATTCAATTGAAAACAAATATTGAATGGCCTAACACTAAAATGAACGATTTTAGAAATGACATTGGCTGAAAAATACTAATCTATATCCAATAATTTCATCTTTGCTTTACTCTTCTCATTCCGTCCTAAATGCTTCTTTAAAAAGACAAAATTGAAATGATCCAATACTCCAATACTTGTAAAGGGGGCATAAATCCTGCTGTGGTTAGCTGGGGGTCTGCTCTGCCTGCGTGATACAATAAGGCCGGAGAAATTCTATTTCACTCCCGTGCACAGAAACTATCGAAAATGAGATAAGTTCGCTGAGTTACACAGAGCGGTGGAGATTTCAGTTTTACATTGAAGCATGGTGTAATATGAAAGGCGTATAGGTGTTTGGTGAGGTGCCGGAAAAGATGTTCAAGTCTTTGTCACTGTTTAGGAATACCTGTGCTGGATGTCCATGTCAATGAGTTGCTGATGGGTGACCTTGAGGGCAAGTCTTCAAGTCGTCATTATGGAAAATGCTTTCACTTAGCTCGAGGAGTTCGTCCAAAGTAGGTCGAGCTGTTCAATATAGAATTTCTACGTACGTATGTTTTTTGCTCCAAAATAGAAATGCAATATGCTTTCAGACACATCATCCATCAGACAAAAATGACGACAAATTTGACTTTAGATACGCATGAAGTGCGATAAGCTTATCTGATACATGTATTTTGTTCCAGGGTACGGTCCTAACAGAGAGATAATGACGTACAAGGACTTTAGGCCTGTAGTCTCAAACTTATGTAGTCTACTCTACAGTCTAAAAATTATTTCAAAGGATTCAGAGGTTGGGTATTTCAAACGTAGTGTGTCCCAAATCGCTTCAGCAGTTGACTCTAGTAAGCCCTGTGATTTTTTTTTGGGGGGGGCAATTTTTCTTTGGGAGCATTTTGTCTGAGTGCCATCCATTGCTTATTAAAACGCGACGGAGAGCAGCTCTCAAAAATGTTTACGCGTTAGGCGCTCGCTTGCAGATGATTACAAGCAGACGTCTATTAATGAAGCATTTATAGCTAAAGCTAATCATGTTGAAACTTTCTTTGCTCGAGTGTCTCTAATGATAAAAATTCACGTGTGAATAGGTTCTTATGTTGTTGATGTTGTCACAAACTTGTATCAATCTTGTCGATTTCTCAACTTAATCTTGTGGTTGTCATTTCTATCATGTCAGGGTCTTCTTTTGATACTGTAGCTAGTCAGTTTTGATTCTCTCAATACACTCTCTCGATGTTTTGATCCCTTCATTATCTTTTCCTAATTTGTCACTCCAAAACTTGTCTCTGAGATCTTTTCACTCCGTGTATCTTTTTGCAGTGCTTTTGCAGATCCCCCACCCAGCAAAAAATGCAGATCTCATTGCTCGTATAGTGACTGCCCGCGCTGCGCTGGTAATGGAAGAGTGTTACAACCCAACAGCCACCGAAAGGCTCAGTCATGATGCACTTTCAGTGAATGAGTTTCTTAAGAGCACCTGCAGGGAGCTTTTAAAATAGACAATGCGTGTTCTACTTTCAATGATTTGTATACAACAACCCTTCAGTTCTTTAATCCACACGTTTAACCTTATTCGAAACATTCTTAGCACACGCCTATTCGTGTCATTGAAGTTCAGTATAGGCCTGCAGAAACATTTCTGTGCCTTCTTAGTGCAAACCACGTAACTGAGGTATAACAGCATTTTGAAATGAAGAGTTTAATTTTCACAGATCTTCTCTGACGCTTTACGCGACTTCATGAGATCAAACATAAGGAGAGATACAGCTACATAAAAATAATGACTGGCTCGGCTATGCTGGGAAATTGCAGCTTAATAATGGGGCTACACTAATCATCAACTTGATGTATTTATAATGACAAATCAAACTTGTCGTTTTCAATGGACAAGAGCAGTTTGAAATCGTTGTTCCCCTCCTCAAAAGCCTCAAAGAAGACACACGTTAATTTCCATCATCAGAGGTGACAAGCTTGCCTTTATTTCTTCCAGATAGATTCTTGAATTACCGGTACTTTATTCCAATGTAATCCCGTGCTGGAAAACGGTATTCGGAATCAATAATATTAATGTACATTTGATTTATTTTCCTAATAGAAATGAACTAATGTATCGTTCTTGACAAGCTGATACTCAAAGCTCAAAATGGAAAAAAGTCACTAAAATCCAATCCATTCAAAGTGAAAGCATCTTATTATAATATATGTTGCATACTGGGTTCTGACATCACGACCACAAAAACTGTTAGTCATTTGACCGACAGAACTACAGGCTAGCAATGACTCAGTTCCAAGCGGGTGTGAATCTTTAGTAAATTGTTGCTTCGTTATCTTGTCATATTTGTTCCTTTCCTTAGTAAAAAAGCAATGTCAGCCATGCACCACATGACCTGTAAGTAGGTGAGAGATTACCGGAACTCAATATTTCTGCGTACATCGCTCACCGTGTGCAATATTAACTTTTTTTTACTTTAGTTTCCCAGCTTGGCTCATAATGTTCAAGGGCAACAAATGGTTGTTTACAACCTTTTGGAAACATGAATACTGGAGGGCCATAATAAAGTAGGAAAAAAATATAATCCTTGGAATTTCTGGCAAGAAAGTTTGGTACAAGTTAAAAATTACTTGAATTAGCGAATCTCGCCCATTCCACGCCTTTAAAATGCTATGGACTCGTTTAAGTAGGCCTACTTCCTCCGTGTCAGTAATCTCATTTTTGACGGCGGTCAGGGTCATCTCCTCCTCTCTCTCTCTTTTGTTCTATACTTCAATTTCCTTTTTGTGACCCCAGCCCCCGAATATGCGTGGCTGATATGGGTACTTTCAGTTCTGGTAATTTGGTACCAATTTACATACTCTGTATGTGCCATTTTGCGCCCAGGGACGTAGCGCCCGAACTTCACTTGCGCTGGGATCTCACCCGTGAACACCGTGTAACTCAAGCCTTTCTCGCAACTTCGTTTCATTTATCAAATATCATTTGTATCCAACTTAGTTTGTTGGAATACATTGAAATTCGTTGTATTCGAAATACATTGAAAAACTTCCGCCTGGGTCGAAGTTGTAGGTCCCAGTTGTAAACTTTAATGACAGGGAAAGTAGGACACACTAAATGAAAAAGATCACTTTTCCAGATAAAAGAGAGGGACTTGAATTTCATCATGGAAATTGACACTGCGAATGGGATGTGTGAAGGACACGCACCCGAGTAGATGGGTTTTAGGGCTTAGCGATATCTGTACAAACGCGAATTCCGTCTGTCAGCAAGTTGCATCCGGTAGTAACCGTAATGGACTTTCGGTTTGTATATCACCTGCGGTTTTGTAAAGTATAAAAGTAGCATAGGCCTACTACTTTTGAACGATTCATTTTCACTGTTACCGACCAGATACTGAAGCCCAGTACAGCCAAAACAACATTGCGCTGACGAGAAGTGAGTAAATCGTGATCAACTAGATGCATTATCCGTATTTATACTTATATATTTGTTTACGGTTAATTATTTTGCCAGTTGCAATAACGTTGGGTAAGTTTAAAAAGTTTTGTCCTGGATTTCTTTTGATTTGACGTTTGTCACAATACAATTCACCAAGTTGTGCGCTTACCGGCCTAGGCTATACACAGCGCTACTATAGGCCCCCCCTACCGTGCCAATCTCAATTATAATGAATGTGGTAAATGACCGGCAATAGCGCGGCAAGTTGCCCACAACGCTGGACTTCATATCGTGTCACTGCCGTCCACGACACCGACAGTGCGGCATACTCTGTCAACTTACAGCTTGCTAATAGTTTAAGCTCAAAATTAAGCTAACTGTTGAGCAGAAATCGGGGATTGGTCAAAATAGTTGATGCACACGCTACCCCGAGAAGTAGCACTTCTACAGAGACAAATTCATCTAGAACGAGTTCAAGAAGTTAAGTATTCCTTTGGATTGGAAAGCAAGTATTGTTTTGTGAATATTACGTCCGGCGACATTAGAAACAAAATATCCTCAGACATTCTTTCATTTGGCGTTCATTAAAAGACAAAAACGTTAAATTGTATGAAAATAGGAGACGCTCTCTGTTTACGAATAACGGACAGGTAGTCGGGCTTAACGCCGGTTCATACTACAAGCGAATGTGAAAGCAAAGCGCATTTGATGTCACGAAAGATTTGCAGGAAACATCCGCTCGAGTTGAAATGTGCTCAACTCTTGAGAATTTGCAGCGCGAATGTTTGATCTGGCCTCGCAAATTCGTGCTTGTGTTCACTTTCGTGCTATAACGCACGCGCAGATCTCTCTATGTTCACCCGACCCCTTGAGTGCTGATTTATATCACGTTACACGAAGAAAATGTACAGGAGAACTCTACTGGTGGAAAGTCTCACCGTGGAACGTGACGAGGGGAATCCAGCCACTAATTGGATAAATATGAAACTTTTTGCATGGAACCCGAACATCCAAAAAGAGGCTGTTGGTTTATTTTTCTGTAGTTGAAATGGCTTTGCAACTTTTAACCATGACTCTGTCGATGTTCGCTTGTATAAGTTTTCCCGGCCGAATTCATCATCTTCGCACACGAATTAGTGACAGTTTCATTCAAATTTGCACGAAGTAGATTGACGATCAAAATCACCATTCAAAGAGCAGAACTGATCATTCAGTTTAATTCTAAGAGCATCAGATTGTACAATCTTGTTATTCAAAAAGTGAATAGTCGGCATTCAGTTTGGAAAAACTCGTAAAAAGCATTCAAATTCACGCGGACACTCCGTGGTATGTGTTTTGGCGTTCGATTTCGTGAGTCGGCAAGCATTTGTGAGATTCGTGCAGTGTTATTCTTTAAACGTTCAATCTTCTAATTCTTTTTTTTTCTTTGCAACTAATTTATGCAAAATTTTTCATGCAAGGAACGCAAGGAAATTTATTCTGATTTTATTTTTGATAGATCTGGAAATATCTACTGTATTTATTTTGACCAAGACTGATTGAAATTCCTGCGACACAATGAAGCTGTTATTGGTCAATTTTGTCCTGGTTATGGGTTTGATTGCTGGTACTATAATGAACAGCGAAGCAGCTAGTCTACGAGGTAGGTCAGTGACATATTTCTTGGCCGTCTTATTAAGAATTATGGATACAAAGAGTATGAACAATTTAAGGAAAAAAGGAAAAAAAAATTCTTCACTTTCCAACTGTATGATTCTACAACGCGCGCAGATCTTTTCTTCGTAGTTACAGAACATCGGAAGAAATCAGTGTCTTCGAAATTGTAAAAATCACTGGAGAACTTGATACGGAGGAGATGGACTTTATGATCTTCGGAAACACCACACACATTCCACTTAAAGCCACGTAAAGCTTAAAATCATAGCTACACGACCATCCTACCGTCGAAAGATTGGAAAGTAGGGCTGCAACCCTAACATTTTTTTTTCAAAATGCTATCACGCGGTGGCGAGTTATCTCGCCGCCGCGGAGAGAGACCTGTGGTAACTCACCGAGTTGAGATACCCCTCTTGAATACTTAAAATGGTTATGGCCTTTTTGTACTTCCGTAATTGGTCGATTAACCACATCAGAAATAATTCTGACCTGTTTGCTTCAAACGATTTCATTCCGTCAGTTTGGTTACGCCTGCATATAAAGTCGCATCCATCTCATACCCAACTTCCGTCTTCTTTACCCGCAGGATTTATCGACGCAAACGCCCAACAGTATTTACTTCGTGAAGCACGCGGAGCGCCGAAAGGTAAACTTTGCCTCTGCTGTTCAGTTTTGCATTCAAACTTAACATTAATTATCTCTGCTTCTAACACAGATTTTCATTTTAAAGAGAGAGATATCTCTGTTATTTATCGAATGTCAAGTTCGTGCGCCGCAGTTCAAGAAACTGTTTTCAACATGATCATTGATTAGGCACTGACAATAATCTCTTGCAAGTATTTCTGGTTACGTGTTCTGAATAAAACTGATGAAACAGAAGAAATCCCCCACTCAAGACTTAGTGTCAACTAAAACTACCTGTTCCTTGGTTTTTGTGCTTCTTACCAAACAAATGCTGAAAGCTGCCGTTTCCAAGTCACGGGACTGGTCGTGCTAAGGAATGTTCATGTACTCACTTTGGAAACACTGTTCAAATACCGTGGTATGTGTGGATCCATTGATGGCACATATTTATTCACAACCTCATAGTTTGCGGTGCGGCACCACTGCCACTTGTAAATAAAATGTTCAGTGATGACAGTTTTCATATAAAGGATGTAGAACCGTAATCCTTATATGCAGTCGCAGAGGTCATTGAAGCTACCGGGCGGCCATTTTACCGTGCCGGTAAAATAAAAGCTTTCTCGCCGTTGTTAATGAAATTCGTTGTTACAAAAATGAAAATCAGTTGTTACAATGGCTAGCAAGCCAACCATCGCCTTTGTATTCGTTGTAAAATGGTCGTCGGTGGCTTCATTCGGTATGGTACAAAGGCACTGCGAGTCTAGATTTTTTATGTGACGTCCGTGAAAGTCATATTAAAATACAAGTGATTTATTTTCTGCTCCTTAGTGCCAAGATGTTGCCCACAGATGTACTGCTCGATCTGCAAAAAAGGCACGTGTTGTCCATACTGAAAACAACACAACTTATAAGTACATGGGCAATTCTTCAGGTAAGTCAGCTTTTTTTACACCGCTTATATTTCTTTAATTCGGTTTCAGCCGAATTCCTGCTCTTTTTAGGAAGTTTATGCAATTGCCTTTTATCTCTTGCTTCTCTTTCTAAAATGTAATTGTCTCGTAATATAGCTAATTCATATCAAGTAGGCTTAATGTTTTTGTCCCGAATTGACGTTAAAATTTACTTCATCAAAAAATACTTTCATTCTTTTTTTATTTTAATTTCATTCGTTTGTGTATAAACAGTGACTAACAAAATAATTTTGAAAAGGGGAATGTTTGAATCTTTAAAACAATCAAGGCGTTAATATATAGTTTATCATTTATGTATAGATTTATGCATAGCCACATAGCCTACGTTTTCGTTTTTCTTCTTTGATTTCTTTATTGGAGTTAGATCAAGGATAATCATAGGTGGGCTTCAAACCCCTACACGCTTGGTCCTCTAGTAACACCGGTGTTTCTGCAGTATTGCAGAATGCCAAGTGTATTCACAAGGGTGTTTTTGGATGTTCTCAAACCGCAGTATTGATAAAACTTGTAAATAAATTAAAACTATTTGTTGTTTAAAGATAATTGAGCTTTAAATATATTTGTTTACAGGCAAACAAGAACTGTTTTCCTCAACCAGTAAAAGCTCTGCACTGAGCAAGCATCAGATTACACACGCACTCATCTGCAGGCCTAGGAAGATTCAGACTATTTCACGTGGAAGTAGAACGAAGCAATAACACCCGATTACGCCCCCGAGTGATATCAAAGCTTTTAAACCTTGGTTCTCCTTCTTCAGGGTTGTTCTGTTTGGGTTTTAGGCCTTAATAAGGATAGAAACGACTGCTAACTGTGACGTACAATGTGCGTCAGCAATCGATGTAAAATCCTAAAAACACGGGAAATACACATTCACAATGCTGTGAATTGTACAAAGCGTGGGACAAATTAATATTTAGATACAGTGAATATTTTCTGTTTATAAATCCATATTTATTAAAAGGAGCAGAGTTTATACGATACTTGAATAAATCCCTGTTATCTGATTGGTGGGGCGTCAGTCATGTGCCACGAAATTATTTCTCCCATGGCTCTGTGGAATAAAAAATTCCAAAAGAAATTTCGTTACTCTTGGCCGACGTAAACATTTCTTCAGGCGGATATTTCTTAGAGTGATGCAGGGATTTTTCAATATTTATCCTGGTGCTGTATAAAAAGTAATGCATTTGTGCAATGGAAGGAATACTTTCATTTGGCAATGGATGAAATGTTTATCTATCGTTTCCTGAAAATATTGTTTCTGTAACGGTGACATTCATGATTGTGTAACATCATTCTGAAGCCATTCCCTTTTTTCTTTTCCCAGTAAAATAATAATTTCATTTGGTAATAATAAAATTGATAAACCATAAGCCAATTAAACTCCAAACCGTGCATGCAAAAAGGCAAATATATTTGTAGTTTATTAGGTACTTTGTTTCCAGCAAGGGTGAAGTGGTCTTTGAAACACGCGTATTTGTTCTCGATGAGTTTTCTACGTGAAGTATCTTTTCAGAGACTTGTACAATTTTCCTGCAGTGTCTCTGTAGTATAATAATCTTAATTATATATAACGGGTTTGCCCTTACCCAACGTATATTAATAAACACTGTATGCTCAATGCTTGTCCGAGAGCTTGCGAAAAAACCTCAAAAGCTTACTCGGGTGGGACTCGAACCCACGACCTCCT